ATCTCTATTAGAAATGCGATTTGAAATTTATTAATGGGTGACAAGGTTGTTTATACATTTAGCAAAGAAATTATACTTAATTAATTTCTTGCATCAAAGGCCCATTGTGGATGTTATAAGATTGTTAAAATTGGAACCCTAACGTTGTGTTTGGTTGGAGAATTTGAAAAGGGATTTAAAAAGGAAAAGGAAAAATGTGTGTAACATTAGGTAAAATGTAAATATATTTTATTTACATTTTATCTACCTTTTCATTTTTCTTTTTCGTGGAACGAGTCGTAAAATCGAATAAAGAATCGTAAGATTTTACTTTCAGTACAAAAATAAAATAAAAAATCATCGTTAATGATAATATATTTTAAACAATTTTAAAATCATTATAGAAAAATATATAATGCTTGTTCAATGTTAAACAATTTTTTCTTTTTTTTTATACACGTATACATATAATATAAAATAAATAAATCAGAAGAATTTTTTTTGATAGCTTCATGATCGTTTTAGAATTTGGATCATAGTATGATTTTATATGATTTATGATCAGGATAGTAACTATTTTAAGATCTTAGTACAATCTAAATCATTTAGTCTAACTTAAGTCATAGGATCATAATATTTTACGATCCAGGTCAGAATTTTGATACCAATGGATGTTTATCTTATTGCGTCATCTATGTTTTTCTCATGAGGTGAATTGAAGAAGATAAAACGTCTATATCTATTTTATAGGATCACGAAAATTAATATTAAAATATAGAAAATTTTACTTAGCTTTTGTCCATTAGTGTGTAAGATAAATTGATAGAGAAAGGGAGAGAATAAATTGTGTATATATTGATGTTATTTATTGATTGATTTTATGTTGTATATTACAATTCCTATATATAGAAGAGAAGATGGTAGTAGGTGTAGGAGGTAGTGGAGGTGGTAGGTGGAGTGGGTGGTAGTGGAGGTGGTAGGTGGAGTGGGTGGTAGTGGTAATTTACATTTACACAATTTACATTAACAGCCCCCCTCAAACTCAAGGAGGATAGGCACTAGCCAACTTGAGTTTGGAGAGAGTAACAAAACAGAAAAATAAACTGATAAATAAAATAAAACAGGATAGGAGACACGGTATTGTCGTGTCGGATCGTTGTAGCAGACACTGTGTGGTCGTGTCAGACCGCTGTAGAAGATAGTTTATGGGGTCATGTCGGACCGGTGTAGAAAACGGTTTACGGGGTCATGTCGGACCGTTGTAGCAGACAGTTTACGAGGTCATGTCGGACCGATGTAGCAGGACAGTTTACGAGGTCATGCCGGACCGATGTAGCAGACACTGTGTGGTCGTGTCAGACCGATGTAGAATACAGTTTATGGGGTCATGTCGGACCGTTGTAGAAGACAGTTTACGGGGTCATGTCGGACCGTTGTAGCAGACAGTTTACGAGGTCATGTCGGACCGATGTAGCAGCTGACCGGAAGCAATGTCGGGACAGTTTATGGGGTCATGTCGGACCGTTGTAGAAAACAGTTTACGGGGTCATGTTGGACCGGTGTAGAAGACAGTTTACGGGGTCATGTCGGACCGTTGTAGCAGACACTGTGTGGTCGTGTCAGACCGTTGTTGAAGACAGTTTATGGGGTCATGTCGGACCGTTGTAGAAGACAGTTTACGGGGTCATGTCGGACCGTTGTAGCAGACAGTTTACGGGGTCATGTCGGACCGTTGTAGCAGAGGTTGTGGTGGTGCACAGTGCGCCATGAGCGACTTATACATGATACTGTGTATAACCCCCCCTCAAACTCAAATAGGTGTGAAGATAGAAACCTATTTGAGGTTGAAACAAAGGGATTGATAAAGCTGACCGGTGTAGAAGACACTGTATGAGTGTGTATAAAGGCTGCCCAAAAGATATACATGAATATAGATATCGAGCCCTCAAAAGTCGTGCCCTCAAAAGGTGTTGCCAACCTTTCAAAAAGGCGTGCCATCAAAAGGCGTGCTCAATCCATAAAAAGGCGTGCCATCAAAAGGCGTGCCATCAAAAGGTGTGCCCAATCTTGCAAAAAGGCATGCCATCAAAAGGCGTGCCCAATCCATAAAAAGGTGTGCCATCAAAAGGCGTGCCAAGTTGTCGGCGAGCGCCGAGCGGCGCATGATGCGCGTGTCTGCCTCTTCGTCAAGGTCTTTATAAATCGAAGCGGAGGCTGAGGCTGAGGCAGAAAACCCGCTAAAAAACTCTGAAAAACTTCTTCGTTGTGCTGAGAGAGAGTGTCTGTAACACTCTGTTGCGAGAGATATTCTGTAACACTTGGTTGCCCAGAAAATGGCCTCGTCTTCCCGTGGTCTGCTGACTCTCTTTCCCGACCTCAACGAGTCAACAAGAGAGATAGCGGGTGCGGTGTCCCGTGAACCTCAACCAAACACCACTGGGTTTGCTCCGTTGAACTTTCCGATGCAGTCGGTGGAGCAAAAAATGGCAGTGCAAACGGATGTGGAGGCCAATCAGTATACTCTGAAGGCATGTGTGAAAAGCATGACCTTGTAGAATTCATCAATAAAATCATTAAAAAGTTCAATTAATTGGATATTGATAATTATATAATTGAGTATTAATTATGTGAAAAAAAGAAAGTCTATTATCAAATTTATACTGATTATTTAATTTTAAAAAAATCAATATCATATGATCATGTGAATATGAATGCTCAATTAATTTAATTATTTTACTAATGATATACTCAACAAATCTTATAAGATTAACTATTTACATCACAATTAAACTTCTCAAACAGAGCACTTATTGACCTTTTATTGTAACAGTTACGTGGCTGTTTCTCGCTTGCTCTATTTGGGAGTACCTAATGTGTCTTCCCATAGTCTCTTCAAGTGGTTAACATGAGACACTACTGTTGGCTCAACCAACCAAAAGCCAGCACGTGTCTGTACTAGATGCTACCATTATTCGAACCACTGTTTCATAGAAGAATAATAGAGGCAACATTTTTTGGAAGCTACAATTTCACTTCTTACTCAACAAAAAGAATTTCGGGTGAGCCTTTGCCTTGCTAAAAATTTTAAATTACTTTTTATTTGATTTTATGTATTCTGATTTGAATGGAAAGCTAATGTATTTTGTTTTCTTTCGTTTTTGCAGTGTTTAACTCTTCTTGCTTTTGATAAATCATGGATATAATATGCCAGCTATGTGATAAAATTATCTAAAGCGCACATTCACTATTTCTGAACAAGGCAAAGTAAGTTATTGTAGTAATAGTAAATTAAACTTGAGAATAGAATGATCATTTTATTTCAATTGTATTTTATTGAACCAAAAACTACTTAGGAGTTGGATCCCACTAAATTTGTATTCCTTAATTTATTTTTTCATTTTTCCCGTATGATAATGTTTTCTTATTAGTTTTGTTCACTTGATTTTTTTAAACAGGAGTTCTATGCTGTTTGTGACAACCTTTTTCACTCATGTTATATCTGCACTTAGGAGTAATATTACTGATAACGTTATCCAATATTTGATTGCATATTTCATGTTTGATGAAAGCTGTATGATTTTTCTTCATTTTCATACTTGCTTTTTAATTGAAAATAAAAATAGTGCATCTACTATGATCTTCTAAAGTACAAATGATTATTATTATTACTTTTGAACATATTAGGATATTCTCTAATTGAATTTTGAAATTTTAAATTATTAGATGATATTTTTTTAAAAATTGTCCCAATATGACATTTTTTGTCATATTACATCATTTATCTATATTTTTAGAAACTAAATTTTTAAAAGAAGATATATAAATAGATGAAATAAGAATACTATATTTCATATAATGTATCATATGAAAAGATTAGATTATTTTTTAAGAGGAACAATACCTTTAATAGTTGCTATATATATAAATTTGATTAATTGACAGATTCAATGCTTTGAACACCTTGATATGCAGAATAATATCAGCAACTGTATAACTAGGAATGCAACTGTGCATTTTCACATATGAAGTTAACTCAAAAAAACTAATAGCAATGCGACCCCCACGCGCGTAGCGCGTGGGGTCCAACTAGTTATACTGAAAATCCTGAAAAACAGAGACTCTTAAAAGCGTGTCCGTTGTATTCTTTAACGTATGTTAATTAAAATTTTAAATTCGTAATATTGCACATTTTACAAACACTTGTTAGATTGTGTATTCTAAATGTGTTTTGAAATATTTATAAAATGAATATATTATGTGCATTTCAATATTCTTTAATTATTTTGCATTCTTTAAAATGCTATTACTATGTGAATGGTATATTGATGTTTAAGTTACAAGTACTACAACATATGAGTTTTAGAAATCAAATTTTTTGGTCGCTAATAGTAAAAATTTTGTTGTAAAAGACATTTAGGGACCAATTTCTATCGTTGTGAGGATAGTCGTTAAAAAGTCGTCTTGAAAAGTCAAAAATAAGACTTTTAGCGACAAAATTTTGAAAATGTCACTAATAAATACACTTTTAGGGACAATAATTTGGTCTCAAAAAAGTTTATTTTTTAAACAAAAAAATTCACAAAAAGATAATAATTCATCACTAATATCCAATTTTTGTTGCTAAAAATATAATAATAACATTTTTCACAACAAAAATATTTGGTACTTAAAAAATAATTTTGTCTCTAAATTTTTGTCTTTAAAACTTTAATTTTTTGTAGTGAGGATATATGAATTTTTAGTTTTAATTTTAATTAATGTATGTTATTTTTTTCAAAAATTTTGAATAATGTACTAAATTTATAAAATATAATTTTTTGATGTGTCCCAAGCGTATTATGTTCTACATCTTTTAAAAATTGTCATGGCAACTTGTCCATATTGTGTCACTTGTGTGCAACACTTTGTCCTGTATGTAATGGTTTGAAAGGCTACAGCTGCATTTTATACTAGTTTCCATATGATTAACATATTAAAATAGGAAAAATTCTAATCTGCCTTTCCAGGATGAACACTAAGAATTTCTAGGAAGCTAGGGTGTGAACTGGCTGCTTGCAGCCAAAGTCAACACTTGTTGGGTACAAGTTATACAAAATTTGTGTAGTTTAATCCTAGAATTCATAATTTGAGACTAAGATCCAATGAAATTGGATATACTTCCATAATTGAGTTGCTGGTCAACTTTGTATCTTAATACTAGGATCAAATGAGGAGTTCTTCATCTATTTGATCCTTTATTACTTACAGCTTGGCGCGGTATAGCGATGGAGAGGTATGACATCCCTTCCGGTCAAGGTCAATCAAGAGTGAGTAGCACCATGGTGGAGGAAGAGATTATGGTGGGCTTTGAGGATGAGGTAATAATGATAAAAGAGCAACTTACTGAAGGAAAGAAGAAGTTGGGAATTATATCGATTGTTGGAATGCCTGGACTCGGTAAGACAACTTTAGCCAGAAAAGTATATGATGATCCTTATATCACGCATTACTTCCATATTCGTGCATGGACCTATGTTTCTCAAGCATACATAAAGAGAGATCTTTTGCTTGGCATTTTACATTCTATTGTCAAAATTACTAACAAAACTGAACAAATGAGCAATGAAAAGTTAGGTGAAGAGATTTACAAAATCTTAAAGGGTAAGAGATATCTCATTGTCATGGATGACATATGGAGTACTGGGGCTTGGGATGATGTTAGAATGTATTTACCAAATGACAACAACGGAAGTAGAGTGATGTTCACTAGTCGGCTCAAAGAGGTTGGTTTGCATGCTAAACCTGAAAGTTGTCCTCACCATCTACGTTTTCTAACTGAAGAAGAAAGTTGGGAGCTATTTCAGAAGAGGGTTTTTCGGGGGGAAAGTTTCCCTCCAGAACTAATGGGTCTTGGGTTGCAAATTGCTGAAAAATGTGAAGGATTACCACTTGCAATTGTTGTAATAGCTGGGATTCTTGCGAAAGAAGAGAAGACAAAAGACTTGTGGGAAGAAGTTGCTGAAAGTGTAAGTTCTTACATGGTTAATGATCCAAACCAATACATGCGCACGTTAGCACTGAGTTATTATCACTTGCCTGATCACTTGAAACCGTGTTTTCTTTATTTTGGAGCATTTCTGGAAGGCTCTGAAATCCCTGTGCGTAAGTTGATGTGGCTTTGGATTGCTGAGGGATTCGTACAGTCATCCGAGGAAAAAAAGGTGGAAGAGTTTGAAGAGGATTACTTGACAGATCTGACACGGGAAAAAACGTTGGAAGAGATAGCAGAGGATTATTTAACTGATCTAATTGAGAGAAGCCTGGTAATAGTTTCCAAGAAAAGATCTAATGGTGGAATTAAAGCATGTCGCATGCATGATCTTTTGCGCCATTTATGCTTGAGAGAAGCTGAGAAATTCAAATTTTTGACTTGGTTTCACGGGCATGAACATGTTTCTTCTTCTCAGGGTCGCATATGCATCTACCCTGACTCAAATTTCGATGTTCATTTAGTGAAGTCCTATGCCCGCTACATTCAGTCACTTTTTTGGTTTGGAGTTTTAGATCATGATTCTTTAAAATTTTATCCTAATTCTATAATGTTGCCTATTCACCCATTTAGACAGCCAGTCTCCGATGCATATTGCGACTTTCTCTTGCCGTATACAGTTAGGAGAACTGATATCCTTAATGAGCAATTGTTTTTTCTTGATTCATCACTACAATCATCATCTAATTCTCAAACCTCCGACTGTCTTAAGGTCTTGGATTTATGGTGTCCCAATGTCTTCCTTTCCTTCGAAATTGAAGCACTAATTTACTTGAGGTACCTTGCAATTCATACTGATGACTTTCATACAATACCACCATCAATAGTCTACCTCTCAAACCTTGAAACCCTTATTCTTGGTACACGACAATCCCATACTATTTTGCCGGAAAATGTTTGGACGATGGTTAAGTTGAGGCATCTTTATACACCAGGGAAATATCATATTGATAGTCAGTGTTTTGCAAAACCAATAGCGCTTAAATATTTGTCTCCTCATGTAGGGTTCAACTATAACGCATTACAGACCGTCTCAAACTTATGTCCTTGTGGACATGTCCAACTTTTATTATTAAGGACTCCCAATCTTAGAAAGCTGGGATTTCGTGGATATCTGATAAATGAGTCGGGGCAATCGACGCTTCCTAATCTAGACTTTTTGAACCACCTTGAGACCTTGAAGTTGGACAACACGATGATCACCAGCCAGTCGACTAATCTCTTAAGGGCGGTTGAGTTTCCTAAAAGAGAAAATGTAGGGATCATGAAATTTTTTTCATGAAAATGATCATGAATGATTTGTGACTCTTGGATTACCTTGATTAATGTGTGGTGCTTTATTTTAGGTGTAATCCAAGGGTCATAAATCTTTCATGATCATTTTCATGAAAATTTTTTCATGATACCTAGCATTGCTCTTCCTAAAATTGTTAAGAAGCTAACCTTAAGAGGAATGGGGATAAAGTGGGAGGAGATGTGGATCATTGGGATGTTACCCAATCTTGAGGTTCTCAAATTAGAAAGACGTTCTTGCCAAGGTCGACAATGGGAAACAACTGGTGGGGGATTTCGTCGACTCAAATACTTGAAACTCAAATGTCTCGGTGTTGAAGAATGGATTGCCTCTAGCACTCACTTTCCAAGCCTTGAGCATTTAGTGTTGGAAGAATGTTATAGTCTCAAGGAGATCCCATCTGATTTTGGGGATGTCCCTGTGCTACAGATAATTGAAGTAAACTTTTGTCTCCGTTTCACTGAGGAATCTGCTAGGAAAATTAAGGCAAGGCAAGAGCACAATGGAAACAATTGGCTGAAGATCCTGATCAACAATCAAGAATTCTTTGGGATGACATGTGAGTCAATGCGTTAATACAATTCATAACTTATGTCCTTTGTTCATTTTAATATATATGTTTTATTTTTCCTTGTTATCAAGCTAAGTCATTTAAAATGAAAGTCGAAGAACCTCATGAAAAGGCTAACTTAAATCTGACTTGTTTTGACAGGATACTGAATATAACCTATCCTCTGTATAATCATTTAACCACGTATATTTTTATATATTTATGAGGAGTTAATATGTATTCTAACAGCGAGAGATAATTAGTTATATGAAGCTAGCAACAACTATACATTGTGCTGACAAGGTTGAGACTGCAACCACAGCTCAGGTTGCATAGATGACATCTAACACGATAACACCATGTTTCTTTTAAGTATAATGAACATTCCAATATAAGTAGTTTAAGCATTTTTACAGTTCATGATAGGATTTGAGTTTTAAAATTTTAAAGGCTGGAGATTCTTTACATAATGTAGTTAAGGATTATTTCTTTGTCACTTTTCAGTGTTTAGCGGGGGCTTTGAATTTTATTATTTTTTTATGGTTGGAAGAACATCATTCATCAAATGTGTATGTATATCTAACTCTCTCTCTCTCTCTCTCTCTCTCTCTGTAGCATCAATTGACACATCAGTGGACACATCAGTTGACACAGAAAGCATGGAGAGTGGGTCAGAAAAATAATGGGGATGATCTTTCCAGGTAAATTTTGTTATTCTCGTCCTATTTGTATTGATATACATTGTAATAGAGTGTGATATTTCAGATACTGGAAAAATACTTATGTGCTTGGGTGAATGTGGTATTATTATTTTAGTTTCATTATCAACAAAATTGAGAGTTTGGGAAATGAAATGAAATGAGTAGGTGAAGTGGATTGTTAACCTATCCCCTTGGGCTTGTGTGTGGCTAGGGTAGTTGTTCTTTTGCCCTTGGGGCGGTTGGCTTCGGGATGGGGGGTGCAGTCCTCCTTTGGTCTTTTTTATTTTTGATAAGTGCTGAATATTTCAGGTCTGTTCATCGTATTGTTGCCAGTTTCCGGTGTAAATATACTGAATGTTTCATGGTCTGTTCTGACTGGCGAATTTTGATTGTATGAATGCCAGATGCTTTAGTGTCATTTCACTTTCCTCTATTTTGGGATGTTTGCTCTGATTGGCCACAGTATTTGGCATGAGACCCTTCAAGAGAGGTCCTTATCGGGGATGGCATTTAGGGGCAGTGCATTACCTTGTGGTGTTGAGCATAAATACAAGCTGGCTATTGTGGATTACTTTGATGGTGGTTTTTATTTTTTTAAGCTTGTTTTGCCTGTGGGTGTGTTATTTTCGCCTAGCCTCTCATGTTGTGAGAGATTTATCTTATTATGCTAGTTGTACTGTTTTGTCCAAGCCTTTGACTTTGAGTGTCGCTTCTCTAAAACTATATTGACTCTCGGAGTTGTGTCTTGAGCATCATTGTAATAGGTGAGTGCACAGAGCAAAAAAAGGGTTGAGAAATGAAATGCACTACATAGTACAATTGGAAATACATTTTGCTAATACTACTCGTACTCTCGTCTTGGATAATGGAGGACAGAATAAAAATTGCTGGTGGCAAAGTGTGTTCTTCGTCTCTATTTTTACCATGTATTTTACTGGATTGAATTTGTCTGGAATTTACTAGTTATGAGAAGGTTTTTGGGTATTTGATAACTTGTTCGCTATCAAATTATTTTTGGTTCATTTCACTTTTATCTGCTAAATTATTGTCATTTTTTTTCCCATTTCATTCTTATACCATTAATTTCTTCAATTTAATCTCTGAGGTTTTTTATTTCAATTCATATGGTCCAATTGGGGACTATCTATCCAAATCACTAATGATAAAACCTAACACTTATCTTCTTAAAAAAATGTAATTTTACAATTTGGAGAATCTAAAACATATAACTAAACACACATCTTCTTATTCATACTAATATTAGACACTTATTTTCTACAACTAAATAAACACTACTATTCTTCTCTTCCCTTCATTTTAAAATAGTTAATTTTATAATTTAAGTTGTTCAAATTTTGAAATAACTTTTCACCCATTAAATTAGATTTTAACAAACAACTATCTGCAATTAGGCTTACATTAGCTTATATTAGGAAATTTAAAAACTAAATAAATGAAATTAATAATTTAAAAACGAAATATAAGTATTTTCTTTTGCATTTGTCATTACTTTTTTCAATAATTTTAGAGATCTACATTTTATACCCACAAATGCGTCCACAATAATGTGGCAAAGGTAGTGGGTAGCATATAGTTAAGTGTATAACCAATAAAAAACTGACAGTTATCAAATCATATTATTGTGGATTGAATTGTGAAAGATTTTTGAGTCTTAAATATTTTTGTACTTTTTTTATTTTTTTTATTTTTTATGTTGCATTAGATGAAATAGAAAGGACAAAACACCAATAAATCCCAAATTTTAATTTGTTAAACCATTTGGTCCTACCTTTTATTTTGTTGATTAATAAGTCTTATTTGAATGTGAATTACGTATATACCCATTTATTTAACATGTAATTTTTTTTTTTTATGGAGGACAAATGTAAGTTTTTACTAATGTTGTAATTACAAAAATACCCAAAAAGCTTATTATAGGCCTTTTTTAGATTTCTCTCCTTTCCGAACATCATAAAACATCAACAACATCATCAAACATCAACAAACATCATCAACATTGTGAACATCATCAACATCAACTACATCTCAACATCACCAAACATCAGCAACATCTTCAACATCATCAACATCATCAAACATCACAACATCATCAACATTGTGAATATCATCAGCATCTTCAACATCATCAAACATCAACTACATCTTCAATGTCATCAAACATTAACAACATCATCAACATCATCAACCATAAACAACATCAACTACATCAACATCATCAAACATCTCCAATCCTCTGCATCAAAAACAATCTTAGATCTGTCCAGGAATCCAATCAATGGGCAACGTGTACCGCTTGGACTGCAAGCAAGCGACGGTGGTGGTGTTCGATCATTCTGTCAGAGACACAACATCAGCTACATCAGCATCATCAACATCATCAACGTCTCCAATCCTCTGCATCAAATCCCATCTTAGATCTGTCCAGGAATCTAATCAATAGGCAACGTGTACTACTCGGACTGCAAGCGAGTGACAGTGCTGGTGTTCGATCATTCTGCCAGAGATACAGTGTGCTCGGAGTGCGGTCTAATGTTGGAATCACACTCAATTGATGAGACCTCCGAGTGGAGGACCTTGGCCAATGACGGTGGTGGTGTTTGATCATTCTGCCGGAGACACAGTGTGCTCGGAGTGCGAATTTTCACCGACGGAGGCCTCTTCACCGTCTTTTCGAAGTCTAACAGTGTCACCTCCAATAGTTCTGGATGTGTTTCAGTGTTGAGGAAGAGGAGAGAGAGAGAGAGAGAGAGATTAGGGTTGTGATGACTGCCATTGTTGGCGAGATTGGGAGACCTGCAAAATGAAATCAATAAGGATAAAAATGTAAACTCCGTATATAATATACCAAAAACATATATCATATCAAAAATAAAAAGGACTAAATGGTTTAAGAAAAAACACTCAGGACTAACTAGAGCAACATTTACGAAAATGGGATTTATGAGTAATTTATCCAAATAGAAAATGTCGAAAGTTCAGAAGAAAGCACTGAATATGAGACAGAAGATCAAAATGGACGCACGAAAACAGAGCCAGAAGAAAGCACTGAAAAAGGGCAAAAGAAAAATGAAGAAGCAATTTTGTGCTAAATTGCATTTCTTTTTGTTCAACATATTGTGACAACCCTCACCTCTGATTAGTGTTAAACTGTGATTGAGCATGATAAGTAATTGATTAGAATGAAATCCTAATCTGTTTGCATGAGTGTGTTGTTTTAATTGCATTTCTATCTGTTTGTCATTAAATGATATGTTCATGTTTTAATTTCGAATTGCAAATTGAAGGTCTTATCGGCGACCGAATCAGTAATTGATTAATGTTACATACTAATTAGGATTTATAGGATTTTATGGTAGGTTTAATTAAAATTTGATTTGGAATAATTAAATTAGATTAAACAATGCTAGATTATTTGAGTATAGGTTATTACATCTTTGCCATTGGGTGGAGCACCTTTAGAGTTATTGTTTGGAGCTTAGTTTTATATCATTTCTTCATCCATCTTCTTGGCAAAACCGTGAGAGAGAGTGAGTTGGGAGAAGTTGAGTTCAACAAGAAAATTGGCTTGGAGAATTAGAAGAAATTAAGGAAATTTTGAAGAATTGTTGAATTGCTCAAGAACTTTGCTTAAGTAAAGCTTAATTAAGGAGTTTAGGTAAGAGCTCAACCCCTTGGTCTTGTCATTGAGCCATCTAGAACTTGTCTATACATGAAATAGGTGAATTCATGGGTTAATTGAGCTAGAATTCAAGGAACTTTAATTAATTCATACATGCATGTCCATATCATAGAATTTTGAGGTTGTTTTCATGAAATCCTCACATGCATGTTCATATTTTAGTTGTGGTTCAAGAATTCACCATGTTTTAAAGTTCAAGCTTGCATTTGATTATGTTTTAGAGCATTAGAGTTCATAGGAACTCATGCATGTGATGTTCTTGCATTATTCTTCAAGTTTCATTCAAAATTGTGTTCAATTGTCACACCTTTGGGCTTGATTTCATAAAATGATCTTTGAAACATGTTGTATTATGGGTTTCTAAGTGTTTTCCAGAAAATTGGCCCAAAAGGATGAGTTTTGATATGTTTGATTCTTGGTTTGAGCTTTGGGAGCAAATCTTGAAATCCCAGATTTTGGCTTCTACACTCGAGCGAAGGATTCCATACTCGAGCGACCACCTTGTGTTCGGGCTCCACTCAAGCGACGGAATGCTGGCTCGAGCGTAGATTGCAAGCTCTCAGGTTCTTTGCGTGTGCAAATGTACGTTCGAGCGAGCATCAAGCGGGGATTTTCAACATCTACTACTTTTCATGTTTTTACAAACCGCTCGAGCGAGGGAGTCTACGCTCGAGTGACCCCTCTGTTTTGGTAAGCTCACTCGAGCGTAGAAAGCCACGCTCGAGCGAGACCTCTATTTTCAGTAAATTTTGAAAAGTGTTTTAAAGTGCAATTTTTGCATCCTCATTCCATCCTAGGCATTTCTAGGCCATGTTTAAGGCATCTTAATGAGGATAATGTTATAGAACCACACCGAGTCAAGTTAAGGGGCTAAGTTATTAATCCCAAGTGTGTAACTTAGTGTGTGTTCATTCTGCAACTGTGTAGGGTTGGCATCCGAGGACGCTGACTAGCCTGTCTTTAGCCCAGTACTCTGTGAGTAACAATGTTGTAAAGCTATGTTAAAGTATAATTATTTTCTGAATGATTAACTGTACTGCTTTCTAAAATAATATTGTTTAGTGAATGACTGTTTGTCCTATTTGTAAACTGTATTCGTGGCATCCCTAGCAACTTACTGTTACTGCTACTGTTACAGAGATCTCTGTCAATTCCAATGTTTGGAACTACTACTGTTTACTGTTATGATGGCCATCAACTGACTGTTCGGTCTATTAAGACCTACTGTACTGTTTTGCTATTGGACGTACCACGTATGATTGTTATGATTTCTAAATAACTGATATGGCATGAAATATGAGATATTGATCGAATAAATGATCTGCTGATGCAATTGACTGTTTTAAATACTGAAAGGGCATTCATTATTAGCCCCTTTACGCATTTGTTATTCACTGGGCTTTAGCTCACTGTTTATATTTATATGTAGGTGTCCAGGCACCGGACCAAAGCTAGGAGCGTCAAGTTAAGCTCTCGTTTTGTCAAGCCAACCATCGTGCCTTACTTCAAGGTTCCGAGTTCGTTCAAGCTAAGTCTGTTTTGGGATGTTCAGAATCACCCTTCTGTCTCTGTTTTGTACCGACTGAATAAGTTTCGACTGTACAGTTATGGTGAAGGGACTTGGTCCCTAACCTGGATGTTTGTGTATATGATGTATGTATATATGTTTTGATATGATGTAGCTTGTTCATAAAAGTTTTTGCATTTAGATGTCACAGCTCATTGGACATCTTTTTATTACTGTTTGGCTTCCCCAAGCCCCTTACTCTGTACTACTGTCATTACTGTTACAGCCTTTGGTAATCACGGATTACTGGCGGTTGCGATGCAAACCCATAGGGGCTGGTTGAGTCGTGACGAGTGGTATCAGAAGCATGAGTTATATGTACACACGTGTCCAAATGAGCTATAGGATGTCCTAGAAAAGTAATAGGGCATTGCACGAGCATAGAAAGTGTGTGTGGCATTGATATGAATATATAGTGTGCCCTAATGTGCTAATATGTTTAAGTCGCAACTTCCTATGTTTAATTTATTACCATTGGCTATAGGGTGAAATAGGAGAATGAAGAATGCGAATGAATCTGAATTATCTGAGGCAAAATGGCAAGGTTTAGATGAAGAACGGTTTGAACTGTTGATGAGGCCCTTAAGGCAACAACAGAACCAACAGCCTCCAGCCTCTCCAGTACAACCGGACCGAATGTTTATGATGATGTTATTGCTTTAACACAGCAAGTTGAACAAAATGAAGCCACCTCATTCTCAAGGATAGCTTGAACCATTC